TAAATGTGTTCTCTTTCAAAACCAAAACCAAATAACAAATAGAAACTCTAAAGATAGATGATATACTCATACATAACAAAAAAGTTAAAAATAATTATGTAAGTTCATTTTTTAAATTATTTATAGATACCTTTTATAATGTTTAGTTAATACTAGATAGAAGCCAATATTAATTGATAAATTTGTATCTTCACTTTAAGACTGATTTTCCTTATGCCTTGTCAATAACTGTTACTGTTTAGATGTTACATTATTTGACTTTTGGACAAACATTTTGAGGACATCATGACATTTTTGAGATACTGTTTGTGTATTGGAAATCAAATTAAAAGTTTAAAAGTGAAACTCAGTCAAATATTCTCTTTCATGTTTTAATGCAGTCTTGCTAATGTAACTATAGGAAATAACTATTGAAAACAAGAAGCTAAAAGCATCTAAAGAAAAAACCAATACCACCCATAAGTAATAAGATTTTATTAAAAGGCCACAAATGGAAAGGTATGCCATTAATACCTGAAGGTTTTTGAGCAAAGAAATGGTAGGAAGGAACCCTAAAGTTCAGTTTCACATTGTATTAGTCTGCTTTTGCTGCCCTAACAGAAATTAAAACAATGTGTAGTTTATAAAAACAGTTATTTTTCATAATTCTAGAAGCTGAGAATTTCAAAATGAAGGCACTGACATGGAAGAAGGTCATCCTAACTCATCATCTGATAGAAAAAGGATGCAGAGAAAGTAGAAGAATAAGAGAGAGGCCAGAGTCAACAAACACATAACTGCTTAATATCCAAGAGTGGTAAAGTGTTGCTGATTAAAAATTCTGCTATAAAAAATAATTTTTAAAGATGTGCTCTTTTAGCAATTAGAGCATGCTCCAAACATATTTGATGTACATCTCAAACAGATGGAGTTACAAACCAGCAGGATGCTGCATATGGTCTGGGCAGATTGATGTGGAGGGTATATGGACATGTTCATATACATCACACAGCCTGAGATATTAGTGAAAAGAATATATCAGTGAAAAATCTTTGGAAGATACACAGAGGCCCCTCTTATCTTATCAATCCACTTCCCACCCTTTACATCATGGGCTGATAATTACATTCTGTGGAAACAGAACTAAATGATCCAGTGTTTTAACTGCTAAGATTGGAATTTCTCTGCCAGACACGAGCTGTCTGTGTTCCCAATACAACCCTATATGTTTATAATTTCTCCTCAGACATCACAAGTTATGCTCCTTAAGGTAGCCTTCATCTATGACAAACAGACTAAATTCAAGACAGATCAATTATTTTTCTCTCTGTTTCAAAAAACATTTTGCATTGTTAATCAGTTTCACAGTACAGACTCAAAGAGTCAATGGTGGGTTTTTCCAGAGACACAGTTGTTGTAATATGGAGCAGCGGGCTGCGTCCCCGGCACCCGGCCGCCAACACGGCTAGCTTTATACCCAAAATAATTACACAGAAACTGTATTCTTTTAAACACTGCCTGGCCCGTTATCTATAGCCTCTTATTGGCTAGCTCTTACATATTGACCTAACCCATTTCTAATAATCTGTGTAGCCCACGAGCTGGCTTACCAGGAATGACCTTAACCTGCATCTGCCTGGAGTGGGAGAATCATGGCGACTCCCTGATTCAGCTTCTTTCTCCCAGCATTCTGTTCTGTTTTCTCCACCTACCTAAGGTTTGGCCTATCAAATGGGCCTAGGCAGTTTCTTTATTAATAAGAAATCACTCCCACATCACACAGTCTTTACCTGGATGGAACTGTGTTTGGGGACAACCAGTTCCACTTTGATCTTTTTTTTCTCTCTTTAATGAGATAACCTCTGTGCTGGCTGGTTGTTGTCAACTTGACATAAATTAGAGTTGCCAAGGACGAGAATATGACAATTCATGGATTGCTTTCATCAGATTGAACTGGGACATTTCTGAAGGACATTTATTAATTGGTTTGGGAGGGCCCAACACACAGAAGGAGATGCCACTCCCAAGCTCCAGGTGCTGGGTAGTATAAGAAAGTACGTAGAGGAAGTCAGGCAGTGCAAGCCAGTAAGCAGAGCTTCTCTGTGGTCTCTGCTTCAGTCCTTGAGTTCCTGCCTTGGTGTCCTATGATTATGGACTGTAATCTGCAAGCTAAATAAATTATCCGAGTCCCTTTTGGTCATGTTTTTAAATCAGCATTAAGGCAAATCAGAGGGACCTCAAATACTGAGCCCTGACAATAGACAAACTCTACAAAGGCTTTCCCGTGGAGAACTCTGTCTGTTCTCAGTCACATGAAATTTTGAAGTAGCAAATCAAAAATCATCTTGGCTACTCTCTGTGATGGAGGGTAAAAAAAATCTTGAGCCACTGTTTAGAATATGAATCTTCTATATTTATTCCCCCACACGCTTAGAGGGGATGCACACAATTATTACTTTAAAAATGTATACTATATAAAGTTGGAAATTTTGTAAGAAGAAAAAACATCCATTATTTACAAGCTATATCTCTCCTGTCCCTCAATGTCTAAAACATCACAAAATAATGTGTGTGTATGTGTTAATGAGTCTCAAAATCTTTTTCCAAAATGCTATCCTAGGATGTCATCTCATCAGCAAGGCATAACACAGCAGGTATAACTGCTGTTCACTCTTGGACAGCATGGTTGCTACATTACAATTTCAACATGATGTTTTTGTTTTCTAATCATTGTTTGATGATTCCTATTTTCATCATGTGTAAATATTTCAATTACCATTGCTAATATTTGCAATAGGGTGCTTATATGAAACAGTAACCTTAAAATGATATATAAATCACTTATATGTTATGTATAGGAAGACAATAAAATAATAATAAAATGGAGACTAAGTGTAGCAGCACATAGATATAATATCAGCATATAATATAAGCAGGAAGATTAGAAGTTAAAAGTCATCTTCTGCTATATAGCAAGTATGAGACCCACCTCAGATACATGCATACTATTTCAAAACTGTGTGGATTATAATGTGTTAGGGACTCAGTCTGGTTTACCAGTAGTACCTCAGTATCACATTAAGGAAAGAAATAAAAGAGTTTCTTCTTGAAGACATTTAGCCAAGAGCAAGACTGGATTTGAATTCTCTATTTCCTGTCCCTCATGTCTTTGTCTCTGTCAAATGAGACTAAACTTTGCCTGCTTACCTACTGCCCTGTGAATCCATTTTTTTCTGTGCTTGTGTATGTCTAGCGCAATGTGTGTCTGTTGTATGATCTGTGTGTGTCTAGTTCTGTAGGTGCTGCATGTGTCTGTGTGTGAGTGGTGTCTGTCTGTCTGAATGGTTTGACGGTCTGTGTTTTCTCTAACAAAGTTGTTCACTATATATTTATTGAAGAGCATAGAAAGCATAACATGGAAAAGAAATGGGACACTTGTACATCCCTGTTAAAGATTTCTGTAAAGGACTGCACTCCATTAAGTCTACAGCTCCAAATGACTGAGATAACATCAATGATAAACATTATTGTTTATCAACCAATATCTAAAAACAGTTTACAAGGTTGCTTTTGACTTCAGTACATGCATTAATCTGGTCAGGGCATGAAGTGTATATAACTTAAGATTGTAGCTGTGTTTTTGCTTGGGTTCTAAAAGTTTATTACATGGGAAATTCAGGCAAGTAAATATAATTATTACATTGTTCTCTTAAAAACAGAGTAAACAAAGAGTTTGGGTACACAGTCAATTAGTCACTTAGTCACTTAACTCTTAAGTGACTAGGGCCCAGAAAAAGTTCCAGTCTCTTTAAATGCAATAGATATTTTCAGAATATTTCATCACCACAGAAATCAGAGAACACATAAAGAATGGCATAACAATTTACAGGTCAATGCAAAATGTACTTCATGATTTTATGTGTTTTATTTTGATATTTCCATCTCATTGTGTTTTTTGTTTAATTGCTTTGATTTATATTTTTTTTTATTTAGCTTTGTTTTTTGAGAGAGAACATAAAGTTGGATGTGTGATGAGGTAAAGCAGACCTGTGAGAAATTGGGAGAGAGGAAAGAACATGATTAAAATACAAGGAAGACATTTAAATTAAAAGAAAATAGATTAAAAAGAAGAAAGAAGGCTGAGCAAGCCACGGGGAACAAGCCAGCTGGCATTTTTTCCATGACTTCTGCTTTAATCCTGGCTCTGGGTCCTGCCTGACTTCTGACACTACTGGATTGTGATATAGAAGCAAAAGATGAAATAAATCCTTTATCCAATGACATGCAGTAACAAATTTTCCAGCTGAGCATGATTAACATGTAACTATGCAAATTTATTTTTCTAAAGACTAAAACTGACAGCTTCCTTTTAGTCCATACATGAAAAATATAATACATAAACCAAAGTTTTTGTTTGAAAATTAGAACTGTGTAACTTCTGTGGTTTCAGTCTATGAAGCTCTGTTTTCTTGGATACTTGTATTGGTTACAGTGATTTATTTGAGTCTATCTGTGTATACAATAGAGAGCACTCTTCTTATACTGGATAAGCCAAATAAAAAATTTAAATATTACTTTAGCTTAAGAAAAAGAAAACCATTTCATTGTTCTAGTTTATTGAGAGAGAAAATGTCATCGGATTTGGGGACCCATGATGGTCAAAAGTTTCTACTTGCAACTCTGTCTATCTTATCACTCATCATTTCCGCATTAGCTACCTTCTAAAAATGTGTATCATGTATTAGGCAGCTATTCTTCTGAATCATGAAGTGATAATTACACAAGTTTAGCTACCACTGATTGAATATCTACCATGAGAGACAGATGATAGACACTGGTTTATTTCTAATCCTCACAATAATCCCTCTAGATCAATGCTGTTTTACCCTTTTAGTGATGGCCAAATTGAACCAAGAGAATCTTGAACAGCACCACAGAGCTATTGGAAGCAGAATTCTTGAACTGGATTCCAGAAGCACTTTGTAATTCAAGGATTCTTTACATACATCATGCATATAAAAATGTACATTTCAGTAACTCTGCAAACCATTGCTTCTCCGAGAGGACAAATCATACAGAGCCCACTGACCCTTACTTCGCTGTGCTCTCTTGCAGCCTGTGAACTTATGAACCAGGGCATCTTGGCCCTAGTCAGCTCCATTGGTTGCACATCAGCCGGATCCCTCCAGTCTTTGGCAGATGCCATGCATATCCCACACCTCTTCATTCAGCGCTCAACAGCTGGGACCCCAAGGAGTGGCTGTGGGCTCACCCGGAGCAACCGGAATGATGACTATACTCTTTCAGTTCGTCCACCTGTCTACTTGAATGAAGTCATCCTGAGGGTAGTCACCGAGTATGCATGGCAGAAATTCATCATCTTCTATGACAGTGAATATGGTAAGTGACTGTGATCTGAAGTGTTCCAAAAAGTGATGTTTGCATGAGAAGCAACTTCAGTAAGTCCTGAAAGTATTTAAAGAACTTACTGATCATTTGTGGTTTTCTGATTTTGAATACACCTCACAGTAGCAAACAAACAGAACTATTTTAAATACTCTTCGGCATTGTACTAGATACCTTTGAAGTAAAATGTAAATAAAAATACCAATTGGAGTGTACAACATACACCAGTTGTCCCAGCACTTGCTAGGCTGAAGAAAGGATGAAAAGGTCAAAGCCATCTTGGGCTACCTAGCTAAACCTTGTTTCAAAAATAAGTAAATAAAAAGTAAATAAATGTGTATGTATCACTCAATCCGAAAGTCTTTCTAAGTAGCCTAAATACAATATAGCTTGAATTTTCAAGTAATAAGAAGTTAAAAAGAGAGTACAATCCTTTAAAAAAATTCATAATTCTGTGGTGATGATGATGATGAAACCATTGGCAGATCTTAGAGCACTGATAAAAGATAACCTCTTTTTATCTACTGACTAAAAGAAATCGGACAAACTTGTTTAGACACTTGTTTTGACCATACTATTAACTTAATGGTTTATCCATAAGGCATGATTAAAGTAGACTATATCCTCTGCACGTTTGATTCGGTATGAAGTTTTACAAAAACTGAAACTAGTATGAAGCAATATTTCAGTCGTCCACTGCAGCACGCTGTTTTCCAGAGTGCACTGTGACCTGCGGAGGAAACAGTTTGGTTTGGGAACTTTCATTGTGATACATAAGCACATTAAGTGAAAGTACTGCTTTCATTGAAATAATTTCCCGAAGCTCTTCCTTTTCTATCTGAAGCTAAAGCTCTTTGCATACCATTCTCCACTTATTTTTATGAGTGGGGAGAGAAGTGACCAGAGATGGAGATGATCTAAGGAGGATAAATAACCCCTGAGTGAAGAATTCATTTAGAAATGCGTTTCCTTTGAAGATTCTAAAATGTTGCTCTCTGGGTCTTGTTTTTCCATTTTTATCAAAGAATGTTTTTCTTGGCAAATAAGTAAATAAGCGTGAAAAACAAACAAACATTTAAAGTAATCCTTTCTTCTCATCATCGGGCTGCATTTTAAGAGAGAGCTGTGACAACCAAGTAGGCAGGAGAGCAAAAGCCACAGAGCAAAGAAGCAGCAGGTTGGCAAAAATCTGGCAGGCAATAAGGGACAGCCCCCTGGGGCTGGTCAGGAAGGGGGACAGGAGCAGCTACATTTGGCCCTAAATAATCAAAGTAGCCTGGCTTTTTGGCTGCCAGAATAATCCCCTTGAACTCAATGGGCAAAATGCAGGCAAAGTCTGTGGACTCTCCAGAAAGACGCTTTTTGTTGCCAAGACGGAAACAAGTATTTCTGTTGCTTAACTGGCATTACTCAAGGGTCACAGAGTAAGAACTAAGACACTGACATGAATAAAAGAAACAAAAACAATATTGAAAAGAATTGGCTTCCCCAAGCCTGAAACACTGTTGGGATGGTATCTAAGCACAGTGACGGGGACTGTCTCTAGAGTCCATACACTCCCTGCCTGCATCTGCTTTTGCTTCCTATATTTTTTCCCTTTTTATCTTTAAATGGAATTCATAGCCTCAGATCAAGTATACACTGAAATAATAAATATTTAAAATCCAGATTTTTAATGGGAGAAAACCTAAGTTCAATAAAAGAAGCAGCAGAAAAGTGATTTCTGATGAAGACATATTCTCAGCGTTAAAATGGGAAGCTTGCCCTTTGATTGTAAAAATATGTAGGATAGAAAATCATTTATTATCATTTATTTCCAAATCCTGTGAGACTTACAGATGGACTCTTATAAGAGAAGACATTTTCATTACTGATGACCTGAAACTGTCTTGGAAGTACCGATTTAGCATGCAGGCAGTCTGGTACTCATACTCAGGTCCTTCATTCTTCTCTAAATGCCTGGGAGTGAATAAGGAGCTGAAACCACACAAGTGATGATTGGGTTCCTGTTTAAACACAGGGTTTGCTTTTGGGAAAAAAAAAAATCTGTCTCTTCTGTTGATAAACTTCCTTTACATGACTTCCTAGCAGTCATTAAAAATGGCCTTGATTCTATCATTATTTCCAATAATACCATCATTTAATATAAGAAAATTGTCTTTTGATGCTTACAATAAATCATGTTAGTGAAAAAGTAGGCTGGGATCCATGACAAACAGCAATCTCCCAGAGGTTTTGTACCTGGAAGAGGGCTAACATGCTCACTTCCAGTTATCAGGCACATCATTTTAAGTGGATGAAACTTGACTTTTTATTTTTATTATCAGGAATTGCTCTTATTAATGAATGAATTAAGTATCATTAGTGAGTAGAATCAGGCAGCATGCTGGATAACAAGGTGATTAGAAGATTAGTTTGCTTAGAAGTGCATATGTGTGTATGTATGTATATATATATATATATATATTATTCTAATATCTGTGCATTATATAGAAATATGTGTATATACACACATATATGTAGTAGGGGCTTCTTGTTTGTTTCTGACTGCTGGGCTCCAAAATAATCACACAGAAACCTTATTATTTGCAATACTATTTGGCCAATAGCTTAAGCATATATCTGGCTAAATCACATCTTAAATTAACCTATGTCCATTAATCTGTGTATCATTACAAAACTGTGGCTTATCGGGTAAAGTTGCAGAGTCCATCTCCAGCAGGGCTACATGGTTTCTCCCTGACTCTGCCTTCTTTCTCCCAGCATTTATTTTAGTTTTTCCTGCCTATCTCTATAATGACCCTTACCAGTGGGTTGAAGTTAAATAGAATGACCTCCAAAGCTGAAATGCTCCCATTAATCATGTCAATTAGATTAGGGGAATGCTTCCAATTGGACTTCTTCAATTGTGGAGAAAATTGAGCCCAAAATTTGTAGAGATTGTTCCATGAAGTTCTCCTAAATGCATAAGGGTCGTTATACTTTAGAGGCATTTCATTAAAGTATATAGTTTTTGACTGCTGCTTACTTCAGCACTTGAAGGTTTCTTTAAACCATCTTCAATGTGCATTTCTAGTGTCTTCAAGAGGGTGGTGATCTGGAAGTGCATGTACTATTTCTAAAGCATATGGGATCAACCCAGATGGGAGACAAATTTTGAAACCGGCAATCATGCCTCCTTGCCAGCTTAGAATACTTCAGATTCTCTATTTATATAAATAAATTCGGCTCTTAATTAAAGGAAGTTTATTGCATTTCGTTGATACAATTTTTACCCTGATAATCTACTTCATGGCCAGAATGCTATTGTAGGGCCTAATACATCTTTTAATAAAAAACATTGTTTGGAAAATAATCATGTTAATTTCCAAGTATGTTACTTTTGACTTCTTTCAAGTTACAATAGCGTGGTTAAAGAATTTTATCAGAAATAGTAAAATTCACAATCCTAGATATGTAGTAATTTGTGCTCTGTTGTAAATACTACTCTGTTGGTCTTCTTACATCCCACATGCAGGACGAGAACTGTGGTAGAGGAATTTTAAGAGGTTTCAACAAGTAGTCTACATAGGCAAGTATGCATTCCCTGCAGTTTCCAATGGACTCGTTGGTCTGACTACAGGAATAATGGTGGTAGAGTGTGGTGAAGCCATCTGGTAGGGAATGGAGGTTCCAGCAGTCAGCTAAATCTAAGCATGTATCCAGTTTAGGGAATCTGTACCAGAGCATTTTCTCCTGAAAAAAAAATACCCAAAAGTCATTTTTTTAATATAATTTTTTATTGAAAAGAAAAAAATTCCCACCTCCTCCCCGCCTCCCATTTCCCAGAAAAAAATTCCCACCTCCTCCCCGCCTCCC